CGGTTTCAACGGCGGTGCCACTTGACAAAGCCTTTGTTTCCGCGTAGCGCGTAAGATAATCAGTGGCTACTATTACCCACTTGTTGCCAGCATAGGAAGTTGGATATGGTCCAAGGAGATCCATTCCAATTTGGGCAAAAGGTACCGTGGGCACTTCAATTGGTTGTAATAGTCCAGCTGGTTTTAACGGTGGCGATTTTCGTCGTTGGCAATTGAGGCACGTGCGCACGTAATGCTTCACAATAGCTGGAAGTATTGGCCAGTAGTATTTCTGTTGGATTCTGGCCAATGTGCGTGTGTATCCGAGATGACCAGATGTTGGCTCATCGTGGCAAGCACAAAGTATCTCCTCACGGAGTGACGTCGAAACGACAAGTAGGTGGGTGCTTCCTGTGGGAGAAACGTTCTTCTTATAGAGAACACCACTACGTAAGCAGAATGACGGCAGGCTCCTTGCAAATCTTCTAGGGACGGTTGTTGTCCGGCCATTCAAAAATTCAATAAGGGAAAGCAACTCACTGGCTTCTTTCTGCCTGCACGAAATCGTATTGGTGTCAACGACTCCTACAAATGCCATGCTGTCATCTTCTGTGTCATCGTCGGGCTTTATCGGTGACCTTGATAAGCAATCGGCATCAGCGTGCTGCCGTCCGAACTTATACACGACCATCATATCAAACTCTTGAATGCGTAAGCTCCACCGTGCGAGCCGACCAGACGGGTCTTTCAAGTTGGTCAGCCAGCAAAGGGAATGATGGTCGCTGACTACGTGGAAAGAACGACCATAGAGGTACGGACGAAACTTCATAACCGCCCATACGACAGCAAGACACTCTTTTTCCGTTGTGGAGTAGTTGGACTCGGCGCGGGAAAGCGTCCTACTAGCATATGCGATCACACGCTCGGCTGAGTCTTGCCACTGGACGAGTACAGCGCCTAAACCCACGTTGCTGGCATCTGTATGGACCATGGTAGGAGCATCCTCATCAAAGTGAGCAAGCGCAGGCGGAGTCTGCAGGCGTTGTCGGAGATCGTCAAATGCCACCTGTTGATCGTCGCCCCATGTGAACGAAACGTCTTCTCTTGTGAGTCGTGTTAACGGCGAGGCTATGCGGGAGAAATCGGCAATAAACCTTCGGTAGTATGCGCATAGGCCAAAGAAACGCCTGACTGCTTTCTTGTCTTTTGGTATCGGAAATTTTCTGACGGCCGCAATCTTATCAGGATCAGGTCGAACACCTTCATGGCTCACCACATGGCCTAAAAATTGGAGCGCCTTGAAACCGAAATGACACTTCTCGGGTTTCAGGGTCAGGCCGGCAGACCTTATTGCCCTGAATACCAATAGCAGCCTGCTCAGGTGTTCCTCAAATGTTCTCAAAAAAACAATGACGTCGTCCACATAGACCAGACATGTCTGCCACTTAAGGCCTGACAGAACGGTATCCATCAGTCTCTGAAATGTTGCGGGGGCTAAGCACAATCCAAATGGCAAGACTTTAAATTCATAAACCCCGTCAGGCGTTACAAAAGCCGTTTTTTTCTCTATCTCGCTCGTCGTACCTCAATTTGCCAATACCCACTTTTGAGATACATTGACGAAAAGTAGCGTGCATACCTCAGCCTGTCGAGTGAATCATCGATGCGCGGTAATGGGTATACGTCTTTCTTTGTCACACGGCTCAGCTTGCGGTAGTCGACACAAAATCGCAAGCTTCCGTCTTTCTTTTTAACCAGCACTACCGGCGATGCCCAAGGATTTCTTGACGGCTGAATGACGTCATCATCGAGAATTTTCTTCACTTGTTCCTGGATTGATTCACGCTCTTTCGGTGCCACGCGGTATGGGTTCTGTCGTATTGGTGTTGCCGTCTCCTCCGTTATTATCCGATGCTTCGTCAGTGGCGTTTGACTGACCCTCGAGGTCAATAAAAAACAGTCTTTGAACTGGTGAAGAAGATCTACCAGACGCTGTCTCTGCGCTGGTGACAAATCCGTGGTTACGTCGATAGGTGGTGGGGCTGACGTGGCTTGTGGCTCGTCTTGTTGTACTACACAGCGCTCGCGGATTTCGGTGATCTCGTCGAAGTAGGCAACTGTAGTGCCTTGTGTAATGTGTCGTCGCTCGTTGGTACAATTCGTCAACAGAACCTCTGCTTCACCGCACACAACATTGACGATACTTCTGGCAATTGCAACACCGCGAGAGAGTAGGAGCGTCAATATTTGTTCAGCGATTCCTTCTCCAGTATTCTGCTCGCTGCACGTGACTAAAACAAGGCGGCACGATAACGGAGGTACGGTCACATCGTCAATGACTCGTAGGGATGTTCGGTGTAGCGCTGCGCTTTGATCCGCTGAAAAGGTCAGTACACCGTCCAGAATATTGATGATGGCACCATATTCACGCAAGAAATCCATCCCCAAGATTGCCTGTTTGCAACACTCAGAAAGAATAACAAACGTTGCGACGAAAGGTGCATCCCCTATCTTAATTCTTGCGGTGCACTTTTCGGTAGGTGTGAGTAGCTGCCCTCCAGCTCCTCTAATCTGTGGTCCTGTTCATTCCATTCTAGCCTTCCTGAGCGTGTCTGCCAGACTCTCACTCATTATTGAGAAGTCCACGCCAGTGTCGACCAATGCCATGACGTCATGTCCGTCAATCGTAATTGCAACTTCGGCAGTAACAACCCCATCTTTTGTCGATTCATTGAAACTGTGTCTCTCTTCGCTCGGCAGTATTGGGGAATTTTCAGCACTTCGACGATTCGCAACCTTCCCCCCTGAGGTCGCTGCTTTTAGTTTCCCCGGCGTGGACTTGGAGATCTCCCTCTTGGCATGTCAGTGGTGCTCCGTCTAGAGGATGGAGAATAACGAACAGGATAGGGTGAGCGTGACCGAAACCCAGGAGGAAGATCCCGCGGGGTGATGACACTCGTGTCGACGTCAGGTGTTCCGTTGAAATGACGCCGAGGAACCGCGGGAGGAAACCCTTGGTACCCTGCGGTGCGATACGGTCAATACCGAACGATGTGGCCTGCTTCCCCACAGTGAAAGCACAGGGGCCTATGATCAGGGGTACGCCAGATGTCAGTTTTGCGAAGTGGTGGCCGCCTCGGCATCGAAGTTTCTCTGTAGTGCCAAGGTGCTGTCGGCGGATGTTGCCGGAGGTACTGATGTGGCGTCGGCACGTTCGCTGACTGTCGGCGGACTACGTCTGCATAGCTTGCCCTGGGAGTGCTCGTGTTCGGCTCAGGAAGCGAGAGCGCTTGCCTGATCTCCTGGTGTACAACTTCCGTTACTGAGGCGATCGCGCAGTCATTCGGTTTGGCGACGAGCTTCTTGACCTCTTTTTGTACGATTTCTCGTATTAGTTTGCGCAAACAACCTTCGTCGGGTGTTGTTGCTGTGGTCGTGGCTGCCACGCTGATCGGTGCACTGTGAGTTGGGCGGTCATACTGGCGATAACGTAGATGCAGTGCTCGTTCGATAGATCTCGCCTCCTTGGAGAATTCATCCACACTTGTAGGCGGGTTTCGTACGAGACCAGCGAACAGCTGCTCCTTAACGCCCCGCAGGAGGTGGCTAACCTTTTTCGCTTCGGGCATATAAGGATCTGCTCGACGAAATAGCCGCGCCATGTCCTCAACAAGCATCGTAACGGATTCATTTGGTTTCTGAATCCGTGACTCGAGGAAAAGCTGTGAGATTTCTCGTCTTTCATTGCTCGCGAACGTGTCAAGGAACTTCTGCCGGAACTCATCCCAAGACGACCACACGCGATTCGTGAACCATGTTCGGGCTCCGTCTTGCAGCGGAAAATAAACGTAGCCCAATTTCTGTGTGCTATTCCACCCGTTAACATTCGCTGTGTGCTAGAATTCCTCGAGCCAGTCATGTGCATCCTCATATGCGTTTCCGTGGAAGTCAACCGGAAGTCGAGGGTTCAAAACAGTCACCTGTGTCGTGCTTGGGCTGGACATGTTGAGGCCAGTGCTTGCAGGTGCCGTCATGCTTTCTGGCACAGTCACGCTTTCCGGCAATGGACCAAACTCCGGGCTGAGGCCTAACAGGCGCCGGCTGCTGTCGTGAACGGGGGTGCCGATGCGCGGAAGTCTTTCTGGACTAGACGCGGGACTGTTGTCAGGCGTCCCGAACATGTACCCAACGCCTCCACTAGTGTCACAATGTAGAAACAGCAGCAGTCGAATACAGGAAACTCACTTTAATTTTACCAGAACACTGGCAAACTGATCGGAAGAGAACCTCGTCTTCTTCTCTCGCTGCACGTGTTCTTCGTTGTTCTCTTGGTGCTGCATATTCAATGTGGCAATATTGCGAAAGTTTGTTCTGGCCATTGCTGCATGGATAGAAATTACGAATTTGCTATTGCATAAACGCGCATGCCATGGTTTATTGTCTATGCCTATGACCATATTAGCCATGGGTAACTTAGATAAAAGGCTTGATGGCACACATGCCAGGCCTGTTACCTTAGTTATGCCATGATTTTAAAGTCATGCTCATCCTACCATAGGGCCATACACTGCCTAATGAAACGTCTTGCTGGGCAAGTTACTGCATAGGTATAATGCAAGAAAGTGGTGCAGTAAGGTCAAAAAGACGGTTACAAAAAAACGGGGTACATGAGACTAAGATATTGTTGAACAGACAGATAGACAGGCAGACAGACAGACAGACAGACAGACAGACAGACAGACAGACAGACAGACAGACAGACAGACAGACAGACAGACAGACAGACAGACAGACAGACAGATAGATAGATAGATAGATAGCATGGTGCAAAGTGCCTTTCCATCACGAGGAAGTGCTTGGCAGTCAAAAACTTGATGGTGCATATAATACAAAAACATAACAAATGCAAAAATTTACGTTTTCTGGTTTTAGAGTCGCAGGCAAGCGAAGATACATAAATTCAACATGATGACTTCACACACACAAAAAAAAACTCTTTAAAACTCATGCCATGCGCTCACCGGAACGTAGTCCTTCCACTCTCTTGTGCAATGGAGCTCGTTCATGACGTCTGTGATGACCGACCCCGTAAGCGTAACGAGAGCTCCTTCACCGCCTTGTTTCAGCAGAGAAAACATGTTTCGGTAAGCATTCTTCAGGTCTCGGACGCACTGAAGAGCAAGGAAGGAGTATATTCGGTCAAACTGGCCGTATTTGTCAATTAGAGCCCGTGGGTCATCCTTCTCAATGTCAAACAACTCATAGGAAATGTTCGAGTGACTAGCGTGCTTGCGTGCGTACTCCAGTAAGATCTCTTCTCTGTCGACGGCAACGATCCTCCGACAGGGATGCACTTTTTCGAGTAGCGCATCTTTGGTGAATCCTCCAGAACCGCAGCCAATGTCGAGGTACTGATGTTCATCGCTAGCGGGCCGCTTGAAATGGACGTATTCTAGAGCTTCAAGTTTGTGAAAGTAGCCAGGCTTTTTGGCAGTTTTCAAGATCGAAGGGTCGAAATAGCAGGAAGATTTGTGCGTCGAATCCACACTTTGCGCTTCCTTGCTGTTGGTCGGCATAATGACGATGGACCTCGCGTAGACTTTTGCTTCTCAGGGAGGTGCACGTTTCTGCTCTGCTCACCTTCTGAAAAAAAAGAAAAAAAATAATAGCAACTGCTATTCAATGGGCAGCAACACACATAGACCAAGTCAAGGGCACCTGAGATAAGAAACACTCGAGTGTTATTCGGATGGCATTGAGAGATAGATTATCGGTGAAATAGGCATGATGCATAGGTAAGAAATTATCAGCTGCTATTGACCGGGTCTGTTGAACGGTTATCTGTTGTTGACTGAATCTTTTGTCAGCTGTTCAATAGAACACCCCGTCTTTTGGGCTGTGAATTCAGTTGACATGATCTGTTGACCGGTTATCCGTTGTAGACAAAATCTGCTGTTGGCTGCTCAAAATAACACCCACTGTTTCAGGCTGTGAAGTCCAAATGATTTGTGTGATGCGGCCGCCTAAAAGGTCATTGATTCTGGGAAGTGCGTGTATTCCCAATAGACCAGGAGGCGTTATAGCGGCACCTAGAAGAACGATTTTTTTAGTACAAACGCGTAACGTAAACGTGAATTAAGTGAGACAACGATAAGCGCGTTCACACAGAAAACTTTTTCGAAGTAATGCCCCTCGCTCACTGAAAGGTATACATATGTAGAGTGCTTACATTCTCGCGTTCATTGGACAATGATATCGGTGATAAGACACCAAGCAGCTGTGGGGAGAGCTCCTTCCCCGCAATTTTTCAGCAGACCTAACATGCTGTGGTACAAGCTATTGATGTTTCGTGCGTGCTCAAGCACCAGCAAGGAGTATAGGCAGTATTCATACTTAGGCACTGTCTACGTTACGCACTCGTATTTCAAGTAATCATGGATTGCATGCCCAGCTGTCATGGTCTAATGGTTATAGCACTCGACTACTAACCAGAAAGTAGCAGGATAGAATCCCAGATGCTGCAGCTGCACTTTCTCTCGAGGCCCATGTATAATTTAAGGACCGTGTATTTAGATATCTAAGGCATGTCAAAGCAGCACCATTGGTTGAAGCTTCGGGCACCCTTCACTAGGACATCTCACATATATTTATAGGTGCTTTCGAACGTGAAACGCAAATAATAATTATTATCATTCTTCTTTTAATTTTCTGTACAAATGCAGGGCAGAGCCCACCCAGCTTTTCAGGGGCGGAGAGCACGACGGGCCCTCCGGGTTTTGTGACAACTTTCTAAAGATTGGGGGTTCTTAGGTTTTACTTAGCGTGGACTACCCCTCCCCTCCCACTTAGAAGAAAACAAGAAAGCAATGCACACTGCCGGTATATATGAATATATTGTATTTATAAGTTGTGCTTACATCAGTATAATATTTTTTGAAGTTCTAGAACGCGGCAAAAGGTAAGAAACTTTGTACGCAAGCAATGATTTGTTTCTATCACCTACCACATAGCGTCAGCTTGAATTGCTATAGACCCTATTGTTGTTTACAAACGCAGCTGCTGGATAGCATCCGGTTTCGCGTGCCGGTGTGTCCTAGGAGTTTTGGTGAGCAACAGAAACCTTAACGAGTAGATTTTGATTTTCGAAGTTTTCTCCTTGTGACTGGTCATATATTTCAAATCCACTTTCTTTTAGGCTAGATACAACTTCATAAGAATTAGTTCTTGACATTAAACGCCTGCCTTTTACCTGAAAACAGTAAGAGAGCTTTTTCTTATAGCAAAAGTTATTAGGCCAGTCAACAGGCTCCGACTTTTTTTGACACTCTAAACAAGCTCGCACATCTTTCGTGGACCTGACAAACCTTCTTCCATGCGCAATGACGTCAACTAGGCGATGGGTCAGGTTGACTTGACTACCGTTTGTGGAAACCAGGTTTAGACCAACCGATGAGCTGCGTGTTGCAACACGTTGTCAATCACAGAATAGGTGGCCAGTAAAAGAACGACGTATTGTGGGAGGCACCGTCTGCTACCGGCTTCCAGTTCGAGAAGAGTGCACGACGGCGAACCGCTTCGCCTCAAGCCGCAGATTATTCGGGATTTGCGCACGCGGTTGCTCGTTTATCTTCGTCCTGATAAACCATGGTCGGTTGTGTAGCCGTTGGCTGCTCCTACTCGAGCGTGAAAGGCAAACGCATGAATCGATTGCCACAAAACGAAGAAAGAAAAATGAGGTGGGCCGCGGCTGTGAAGAGAGGCACGGCGACAGGTAGCCTTTGAGTATACACGGAACGTGAAATTCTGAGTGTGCGAATAAAATTTTATCACAGATACATGTGTATTCCACACTAATAAAAGCTTACGTATGAATTTGCTGTGAAAGCTATATTGAGAAATAAACTGTCGCGCAGGCGCCCCTAGCGAAGATATTATGGAAACGCGCGGGTGAAATCTACCTGACATACGATATGAGCGCCGGCCATTGTACCCATATATATAACAAAAAAGGCAAAAGCTTCATTCGAGAGTCTGTGTACAGGAAGCGCTGGACGAGTGCATTTGCGTTTATCTTGGTCAAACTGTGTGCCAGGGCGGCAATCAAAGGAAGATGTGCGTTAAACAAGCGCAGGGTTTAGATTATTCGGCGCCATCTATGTCTGACTGTATTGTTTATGTGCCGCCCTGCCGCGCAGACTAATCAATATCAGCGTTTATATAATAAGCGGCTGGCTTAGACTAAGAAATGCATCTAATAGCGCACAGAAGGCGAGAAAAAAAAAAGATATGTTGATGGGCTCAAAAAGTGCTGCGCGTCATGCCGATCGACCAACGATGTCGGCCAAAGCAGCGATCCCGAAATGAACTTTCAGCACACTGCTATAGTCATCCCCATCCCGTGAGATAATTAAAATAGTGATTTTTTATCTGCAGTAACGTATCATACAATGAAAACTGTTTTCTGTATCGACTGATCTGATAGCCCAAAAGACAGCACCCCCGAGCAGCATAAATGCATTTTAGATCATTTTTGTGCGATAAAATGTTTCTCTACCGTTCATAGCTTTCGTAGCTTGTCATTGTCACAATCGCAGTTACCAAAAACAAAAAAAAACAACTTCTAAAGCACTGACATTGCACGGAGTGGTTTTTTTTTAGGGGCAAAGCTCCTTATAGCAGCCCTTGTTCATCCCTCGTAGCCATTGCAGTATGTAACAAGTATAACATCTCGACTTCCATGGTGGTGCCAGTGAGTGATTTCGTCTGTGCGTTGTTGAACAACAAAAAATAGTGCTCAATGTACATGCCAATGGCTGCTAATGAAAAATGAGAGACAGGAGCATTCGGCTTTCAGTAAGCGCGCACGCTGCGATCCTTATTAGCAGCCATTGGCAGGAACATTGAGCACTATCTGAAAAGAAAGGGTTGCTACGTCATACTCGCTGGGTGTAACTTCCTTAGTTTTTGAAAGGTTTAGCGAGCGTTGAGCCGCAGTGCCATGATTACAATAAACTAGTATATACCATGAGTAAACTCGAGGTGGTTAATGGGGGGGGGGGGTGAATGAACTCGATGTGGTTAATGGTGAACGAACAGACGCACGCACGGACGACGGATGAACGCATGGATGGTCACACAGACGGACGCATGGACGGAAGGAAGCAAGAACGAATGGACGGACGAATGCTTCGCCCCACTCTCCATCATTCACTCCGTGGATATGCTGCCATGTTTTTTTTGAAGGGAGCAGTACAAGAATGCGCGCGTGCCGCTGCTGACCAGCGTGGTGCGTCGAACTAGAAGCCGTCGTATCCCTCAGTTCCCTGTGATTGCCCATATTACCGGTCACCTATTGATGCCACTGCTCGTCGAAGGAGGTTGTTCACACGCAGGAAAAATGCGCTAGCTTTTCCTGCGCGTGTTGCTACCCAAGAGACTTCCGGTCACTTTATGTATTACTCTCTAGCATTGAAGCAGAATTCTTTTACTTTAAAGGGCCAGTGAAAAGGCTCCGAAACGCGCAGGGAAAATGTACGAGCTTTCCTGCGCGTTTCAGAGTCTGTTGACTGGCCCTTAAAAGTAAAAGATTTCTGCTTCAATGTTAGAGAGTGATAAATGAAGTGTCCGGAAGTTTCTTCGGCAGCAACACGTGGTGCTGCTATTACTACGTTAAAACCGACCGAAAAGGCGAATATGAATCTCGGAACCACACTTGTACGCAACAAAAGTCTAGGTGACACGCTAAGCTTTCAAGTGCTTATAGGTATTGTCCTACGTTTGGGAAACTTAACTAGTACTGTTGGACGCCTATGGTTTAGAATAAATATTTCAAATTTACCTGTTTAATGGTTCAGACAGTGAAAACATAGGTTACGTGCCGGAGATAACGTAGAGTGGTACTTCAATCAAATAATAATAAAACAATATTTGCCTAATACCACCTTGTTAAACAGGTGCATAGCAAAACATGCTTGGTAAACAGTGCGTAAGAGAACCGTTGCACATTTAGGTGTCTGCAAACATACGTAGTAAAAACGTCAAAAAGATAATAAGTGCCCAAGAAAGCAAGTAACAGCTTCTTTTACTAATCTATGTTTTAGTTATAGGCTTTTTAATTTTTTTTATAGTGCACACTTAGGGTACAGTGGTTTGGTCCTCAAATGACGTAGATTTTTTTTAATGATCAAGTTCAACGAACTCCTGAAAACGCAAGAATGTGGGCCGCTTCAGTCATCGTACGTTGCGGGTGAATTTACACGCCACCTTGAATTTCACACAACAGGCTGCATGAACACCTTCACGTAAAATCAAGCTTTGCGAGCGTTACGCATTACGAAGCAACATACTGCAACACGCAACAACAGGATCATCACGATAGTGTAAAGATGCGTGCCGGTGCGAATACATACACCGACACACGTTAGCTCAATCGCGGGGAAAACACATCTGATAGTGGGCACACCATATAATGATCCTGTAGCTGCTCAACACAAATGAAACTGCTTAGACACGTTTACTTCTTAGCGCACAATGAACAAGCGTGCTAAAACAAGGAACAGAAGTTATTAACAGGTCACAGCTTACGCGTCTTATACACGATCAAAGGTTACAGATAATAACTGCCGTTTTTGCCAAACGGTTAT